GGGGGGGGGGGGGAGCCTCCTTTCAATTCATTTCCTTGTATGCCAATATCAATATTGTCTGGGAGTCATAAACAATTCCTTAGTACAGTGCAAAAGAACTAGGTGCTAGATCATCATTGGGAATTTGTACCTTTTGATGATATACCTTGGTTCTTATTTTTTTCCCCATTCCCCTGCCCACCCTTCAACCTCTCCACCCCTCCCTATTTAAAAAGACTTCGTTTCTATTTTTTCCTTATCTCATATTTATTCCTTTCCCTTCTTTCCTTTCTGCTACCCCTCTCACTTCCTCTTACCCTTTGGACCTTTTCTTCATATTTCACATTATTTATTATACATTTTGATCGTTATTTACACTTTCAGTTTCTCATAATTTAGTATTCACACATGTGTGTTCTATTTATTTCACATAAGAGTATGGCCTCAATGTTCATCCATTTAGCTATAAATGGCATCAACATTTTATCCCTAATAATTGAAGAGGTGAGATCCTGGGATAGACTCAAAAGCCAAAAGCCAGCTATGCCTAAAGACATTTCTGAAAAATAGTTATGTCCAAAAGAGGTTTTAATGCTAATAATAAAGCTACCATAAGCAATTTACAAGATTCAATGCAGAAATAAATAAACAATAACAACAACAAAATAAGAAAATATGGAAGAAAGATGCAATCTATAATAACCAACTCATGCAAGGTAAATCAAGGGGGCACTAAGGTGGAAGAAATTAAAAGCAATGTAGCAGCAGAAGTTACAAAACAGATCAATAAGTCTCTTGACAAAACCAAAACACGTAATTAAAGAGATGATGACCATAATAAAGGAAATGGTAAATGAATCTAGAGTAGATATAGACAAAAAAATAAAGGACCTTAGGAAAGATATGAAAACCATGAATGCCCAACATAGAAAAGAACTGGATTCCATAAAACACTCAAATGGAAATCCAGGAGATTAAAAATTCAACTGAAAGTACTCACAACAGAGTCAACCAATGTGGAGATAGAATATGAGACCTAGAAGATGGTGTTGGTGATCATCAAATGAAAGAGCTCTTAAAATTAGAAAGGGACCATAAAAAATCAATCTAACAGCTGCTAGATGATGCAAAGAAGACTAACATAAGATAAATTGGAATCAATAAAGAATGTGAAGATAACGGAAAGGACAAAAAAACCTGTTCACAGAAGTAATAGCAGAAAACTTTCCAAGCATGGAAAATGAATTTGACATACAGATAAGTGAGACATATAAAACTCCAAATAGTAACTATCAGAAAAAAATGACACCAAAGCATATAATAGTCAAGATTCCAGATATTCAGCAAAAGAAGAGAATACTAAAAGCTTTTAGAGAAAATAAACAAATCACATATAAATGAACACTCATCAGAATCACAGCAGACTTCTCCACACAAATCTTTAAGTCAAAGACTGCTTAGAGTGAAGTATTTCAAGTCCTAAAAGAAAATAGTCTCCAACCCATATTGATGTACCCCACATTATCTTCCAAAATCAATGGAGAAATAAGATACTCCCATGATAAAGAATATCTGAAGATCAAATGACCACCAAATTATCACTCCAAAAAGTTTTGAAGGGTATTATTGAAAAAAGACAACGAATAAGAATCCCAATCGAATGAATCCACCAGGCAAGGAAAACAAACAGAAGAGAAAGAAGAGAACCAACAACAGGGAAATAATATGATAAGGATAAGTCAAAACATATCAGTTATAACAATCAATGTGAATGTTCTCTACTGACCAATCAAAAGAAGTAAATTGGTAAAATGGATCAAGGAACAACATCCAACAATACAGTGAATATAAGAAACACATTTAACTCACAAGAAATTCATAGATTGAAAGTCAAATAATTCAAAACAATACTCCATGAGACAGGCCCCTGGAAAAAAGCAAGGGTAGCTATTCTCTCACAATATAGAATTCTATTACAATATAGATTTAAGCCAAGACTGACCAGAAGAGATGAAGAAGATCAGTATATACTTGGTAAGGGAACAATCCAAGAAGGATCAATAACAATCATAAATATATATGCACCAAATACTGATACAAGCAACCACATAAAACAAACATTAATAGATATGAAAAGTCAGATAAGCACTAATATAACTGTAATAGGGGACCCCAATACTCTAGTATTACAAATAGACAGATCAACTAGACAAAAAAAATTAACAAAGAAATATCAGACCTGAACCAGACCTTTGAACAAATGGACTTAGTATATATCAGAGTGTTCCACCCAATAACAATAGAATACACATTCTTCCCAGCTGCACACATGACATTCTTCAAAATAGATCTCATATTAGACTATAGAATGTGGTTAAGTAAATGCAAAGGAATTGAAATTATCCCATGCATATTATCAGGTGATAGTGCAATGAAATTGGAAATCAATGGAAAAAATAAACCACAAAAATGACATAAACACTTGAAAATTAAATAACACCCTCCTGAACAATGGGTTACAGATGAAATAAAAGATGAAATTAGACAGTTCCTACAATTAAACAATAATGCCAGTATGACATACTAGAACTTATGGGACCCAATGAAAGCAGTCCTAAAAGGAAAATTCATAGCAATGAATTCCTACATGAGAAAAAGAGTGAGCTCAAATAAATAACCTAATGTTGAACCTCAATGTTCTAGAAAAATAAGAGAAAGATAACCCAAAGCATGTATGAGGGAGGACGTTACAAAGGTCAGAGCAGAAATTAATGCAATTGAGACTATGGAAACAATACAAAGAATCAATGAATCAAAGAGTTGGCTCTTTGAAAGATAAAATAAACAAACCTCTAGCCATCCTTATCAAAAAAAGAAAGAAAAGACACAAGTCCATACAATGAGGAATGAAAAGGGTGAATTCACAATGGATCCTGCAGAAACCCAGAAGATTGTGAATACCTACTTTGAGAACCTGTATTCTAATAAGATGAAAAACTCAGAAGGAATGGACAGATTCCTAGATACATATGAATTACCAAAGCTGAATCAGGAAGATATAAAAATTCTAAATAACCCAATAGCAATCAATGAAATTGAAGAAGTAATAAAAACTATCAATAAAGAAAAGCTCAGGTTCTTACAGGCTTACTCCTGTATTCTACAAGAACTTTAGAGAAGATCTAATGCCATTACTCCTCAAACTCTTTAACAAAAGTGAAAGAGAAGCAATACTCCCAAACTTATTTCTGGAAGTAAGCATTACAAAATGACAAAATAAGAGAAGGATCCAACCAAAAAAAGGAACTACAGGCTAATCTCCTTAGTGAACATAGATGCAAAAATCCTCAATAAGATACTGGTGGCAAATAGAATGCAGCAAATCATCAAGAAGATTATAGACCATGACCAAGTAAATTTCAAGCCAAAGATTCAGGCATGGTTCTGTGATAGCCAACCTGACTCCATCTTGAACCTCAACACCATTTTATACCCGTGCTTGGACAAAGTGCTTGTGTTTGGACAAAGCACCCAAAACCCACATCTTGCTTGGCAGAAAACTTGCTTCAGTAGCAGAATGTTTGTAGCTCACCTAGTGTGTGAAACCCTCCAGAAAACTGGCATAGAAGGTCTTAATCTCAATCTGATAAAAACCATCTATGTCAAACCAACAGCCCACATCATACTAAATGGTCAAAAACTGAAAATTTTCACTTTAAAATAGGAACAAGACTGGAAACATTAGCCAAAGCAATTAGAGAGGAGAAAGAAATAAAAAAGAAATGCATGGAAAAGGAAGAGGGTAAAGCATCATTACTTGCTGTTGGCATGATAGTCTACATAGAAGATCCCAAAAACCACACTGAAAGACTTCTTTAAATAACAACCAAATTTGGCAATGTAACAAGATACAAAGTCAATACTCAAAAATCAATAGCATTCCTGTACATGAACTCACTCAGAGAGAAATTGGGGAAACAATACCTTTCACAATAGCATCAAGAAAAATGCAATACTTAGGAATCAACCTAACAAAAGAAGTGAAAGACCCTTACTGTAATTGAAAATTAAAGTACTCTAAAAAAGGAGATTGAAGAGAATATCAGAAAATGGAAAGATAGTTTCTGTTCTTGGATAGGCAGAACCAATATAGTGAAAATGGCCATACTTCCAAAACTGTTATACAGATTTAATTCAATCCTGATCAAAATACCAATAGCATACCTCACAGAACTAGAAAAAAAATCCTAAAATTCATACAGTGCCAGAAAAGACCTACAATAGCAAAAGCAATTCTGGGCAATAAGGGCAAGGGAGAGGGCATCACAATCCCCATTTAGAAGTTATACTACAAAGCTACCATGATAAAGACAGCATGGAATTGGAAAAAATAAAAAACAAACAGCAGAGGTGGCTGCTGCAGCTGCTCTTCCAATGGCTTCCAGGAGCATCGCCAGAAACTCCTCTTTCTCCCCCTCCACAGTGGGGTCATCGGGGTTCCCTGGGTCTGGAGAGCCAACCCTGAGCAGCAGCAGGGTCATGTTGGTCTGCCACCACCCCACAGTGCTGCGCATGGTGCTGGAGGCCCTGCAGGCAGGGGAGCAGCGCCATGGCACCTCAGTGGCAGCCATCAAGCTCTGCATCCTGCACAAGTACCCAACAGTGGATGTCATCCGCTTCAAGTACCTGCTGAAGCAGGCCCTGGCCACCAGTGTGTGTCATGGCCTCCTCACCAGGCCCCTCAACTCTAAGGCTAGGGGTGCCACTGGCAGCTTCAAGCTTGTCCCCAAGCTCAAGAGGAAGACCTGGCCCAGCAGGAAGCCCCTCCAGAGAGGGCTGGCCAGCTCCAGCAAGAAGGGGCCTGTAGAGCCAGGTGAGCCGAGGGTTCCCCCCAGGCTGGCCAAGGCCCTGGAGAAGGCCCCCCAAGGAGGCTGCAAGGGCACCAGGCCACAGCAGGGTGAGGCCAGGAAGGGCCCTCCAAAGCCAGTTGGGGCCTCCTCCAGGGTCCACCGGCTTGACAGGAAGTCAAAGGTCCTGGACACCCAGGGCAGGCAAGGAGAGGCAGGGGCCCCTGGAAAAACGGTAGCCATGGCCTCCAAGGCTGGGAAAGGGGCTGCGTCCCCAACAGGCAGGAAGCCAGCAATCAAGGCCACCTCAGGGCCTGGACCCGAAGCCACCACTGCTCCCAAGTTTGGGGGGCCCAGGCGGGGGATGCTGTCCCCAGCCAGGAGGGCTGGGGGCCTCTGCAGGCCCAGGCCACTGGTCAAGGCCTTGTCCTCACCGTCGTCATCCTCAGAGCCCAGGGGTTAGAGGCCAGTGGGGTAGCTGGTGGCTGGGCTGGAGTTTTTATCCTTCCAAAGCCTGGCACTATTTAACCCTGACCTATTTGTCGATAAAGACACTGATTCCTCACACACACAAAATAATTATGTTACCCTTGATCTTCTAGTTCTTACCCAATGTCAGATAATTACCAACTGCTTTCTTAAAAATATGAAATATGCCAGAATAAAAAACATACGTTTGTATATTTTTATAACTCTTTCAGTCCTTTGGGGTTCCTGTGTGTTTAGGAAGGCCTGCACGCCCTTCACTGGCGTAGCTGTAACTCAGGTGCTTACATCACAGGAGGGAGGAAGCAGAGTGGGGGCCCCGGGTCACCTATACCCCTCATGGCGTGTGAAATGTGGACCATTGCCTGTCGCTTCACGGGCACAACTGCCTGCTGCTCCTACAGGAAGACAGTGCAGTTTCCTTGCACTCTTCCTAATCCCAAGTAAGATGTGTTCTGTGTTAGAAAGAGTAAGTCAGGAAAATTGAAGGATTGTTTAGAAACTTCTCTGGCATTGACCCTAGGGGTGGGTAGCCATCCTGACTCCTATGCCCAAAGCTGCCACCCTTCCCACCCCTCCCTCAGCTGTCCATTGGACGGAAGAAGTGCTGGGCGTAGCCTGGCAGCCACTTGGTTTGCAGTATAGAGCAGCAGATCAGCCAGTGTTCTCTGAAAGGATGAAAACCAGAGGTTAGTGTGTCCCCCTCCACCAGGAGGGAAAGCTTAGGGACTGAGACAAGTGGTGTCCTGAACTGTGTGTGGTTATGTGCTGAAGAAAGGAAGAGTGGTACTTGCCCTGTGTCCTAACCTTCAGGTAGTTTCCTGATCACTGGTGCTTCAGCTAATGGCACAGAGTGAAACCAGCTGTCCGCTTGAAATCAGAACACTCACTCACTGTCTAATCCTGCAGACTGCAGCTCCACCTTCCACTGTTGCCTTACAACCTGATCTCCTATCATTTCTTGACATAATAACTGTAGAAAATGGAAAGTCTGGGCTGGTAGTATACATAAGTGAAACGAAAAAATAAGTAGATGAGGAAGTCAAATGAATACAAGTATGAGAACTTCTTGTTCTTCAGTGTCATGGGTTTTTGTTAATGTTTTATAAGTAATTTTCCCCACTTGATTTTTCTTTTATAAAATCCCAAAAAACAGTGTTTATGATACAGCCATTTAATGTATGTACAAATTGTAAAGAATATGTATAAATATTTTACATAAATGTAAGAACATGTAGAAGTCAAAATATAAATTGTTTAAAATGTACAGTAAATTCTCAAAGCACTTTTTCAAAACAAACAAACAAATAAAGACGAAACAAATCTGAGGATCATGGAACAAAATAGAAGATGCAGAAACAACTCCAAGGACCCTCAGCTACATCATCTTTGAAAAAAGGGGCCAAACACCTTCGCTGGAAGAAAGATAGTATCTTTATGGTGCTGGGAAAATGGGCTTTCTGCATGCTGGAAGATTAAACCTAGACCCATATCTCTCACCAGGCACTAAACTAAAATCAAAATGGATCAAAGATCTAATAAAACAGAAACACTTAATCTGGTGGAAGACAGAATAGGTAAAACTCTTGAAGACATATGTTATGGCCCATGTCTAGACGTCGCCCCAAAGCCTCATGTGACCATAGCTGGGGCTTTTCAGAGGCAGCTGTATGCAGTGTGTGTGACGCTGAGATTGAGTGTGTGATGCTGGGATTAAGGGTATGGGATTACTAAATTAGTGATTTAGGGTTTGGCACAGTTCTGGGTGTGGATAATGAGAAGGCCACCCTGGATGTGGGTAGCACCACCCAAAGGGTAGGTAGCCTTGATGAATGTAAAGGGACAGAAAGAAGGCAGGCCTGCTGCTGCTTCCTTGCTACTTGCTGCTTTGCTGCCTTCCTGCCTTCTGCCTGTCATGAATGGCTTCTCCTCTGCCATGCCCCTCTTCCATGCCACTCTGGCATGGAGCCAGCCAACTGTGGACTGAAACCTCTATGAAATGTGAACTGAAATAAACCTTCCCTCCTTTAACTTTGCATGTTGGATATTTTGTCTCAGCAATGAGAAAAGTAACTAAAGCAACATAAGCTTAGGCAAAGAATTTGGGAACAAAACTCTAATCAAACAGGAAATATTACAAAAAATCAACAACTGGGATCACATGAAATTAAAAAGCTTTTACCACTGTGGAAATCAGTATGGAGATACCTCAAAGAACTAGGACTGGAAGTCCCATTTGACCCAGCTATTCCCCTGCTAGGTATCTTCCCCAAA